TTGATCTTCCAAGGTGGTTCTTTAATCTTCTTATTGCTTAAATGACACTAAAACACACACTTTCAAGCTCAAAATGTACACACAAGAGATTAAGGTTTGTTATGGACGAAATGAGGGGTGGAGGCTGATGAGGGTAAGAGGTATTGGGAGTTAATGATTCTAAAATAAGTCAAAACACTAAAATTTAGGGTTTGAGTATCGACCACGTACGGCCAACGTACACAAGTTTACATCCAACGTACGCAATAGAGGCGCCTTTCTCACTTAAGGCTCTTTGGGACCAGTTTTGCAAACAATTCCATATTAAGGGTGTAAATGGAAAATACCTGGAAATTGAGGTATTATATATATATATATATATATATATATATATATATATATAATATATATTATATATATATATATATATATAGTAGTTTCCTTCGTAACACCAAATATATACGCAGTTTCCTTCGTAACACCAAACATATACGTGTTACTAGCGTCATCGATAAAAAGTCATTTAATATGAATGCTTTTGGATTTTCATTTACAATACAATATATATGAGTATTATTAATTATTACTATCATAATGACCACCAACATTCCCGCCATAAAACCAACTACCGTAACTATTACATCGAATTTCACATATTACTGTATATTTAATTGCACACAACACCAAATATATAGTTGTTGAGAGCATATTATCGTTTAGTATAATGTTGCAAGTGGCTTTACTTGCATCAAACATATTCTGATGCGAGTCCGTAATATAATTTGGTATAAATTATCATTTATTTGTATGTCACCGAATATATTTTGTTGATGCCACTGAATATATTTTATAAATTAGTGACATGCCAATTTAATTTCACTGAACATATATTTGTGATACCACCGAATATGTGTGATTATAAATTATCATATAATGGTACTATTGGTTAGGTAAAATGTTTTATCATTTAAAGGACGGGGGAATGATTAATCACAAAAATGTTATGACAAAATAATCACAAAAATGTTATGACAAAATATTGTGTCATCGAACATATTGTTCACTACCTAAAAAACCAAAAACCTTAAGTAGAATAACATGCATTTCATGTTAAAAACAAAATCATCTAAAAATGGAAAAATATTAGCAATATACTTGAAAGAACTTTAAACCCTGATAGTTCAATATTTTTTCTAAACTCGTGTATCATCTCCGTCTTCTTCTTGATTTTTTTTATTAATGTGTTCAAGTAATGTTGTTAAAGTGTTGTAAATGAGACGATATTTGGAAATTAAACTAGAGAGATAAATATGTGTGTTGATTCGGTGGTAGGACGAGTCAAAATCTCTTACCTCTCTCAGCAACTCCATCTTGTCTTTAGAATCACCAATGTACTCATTGAATAGTTCAAGAACATATATTTTTAGTTTAGATCTCTCTAAAGGTTTTCATATAGCGATCGAATGATATATATCTTTTTAGTGCAATTTTTTTCATCGATAAAAAAGAAGCAATTCGAAATATGACTATGGGGTCGATTAGTTTGACGATGATGAAAATAGGGTTGCTGGTTTTTGATTTATTATACGATGAAAATATATTTACTTTTTTTGGGTTGATAATAAATTACTTTATATTTGAACAAGATAGTTGATATGATATATAATCATTAAATAAAAAGACTTGTAAGGCATCTTTTGAGTTTCTAATGGATATAATAAATTAAGTGTTGAAACATTGCCGTTGAAATAGTATAATCTTTTACGGCCTATGTTTATATGTTATGTACCGATAAGGTCATACAATCTAGTGATCTATATATGATCTATTTCTTTATTTAAAAAATACTATTAAACTATTTTCTTGAAATGTAATTCAAATATATACACTTTCAAAGATTATTAGATAGTCATATCACCTATCATCATTATGATATCAAATCTCACATCTTATTATAAGATATCCATAAATCATATTTATTAGGGATAATGACTTGAAAGGGTAACGAACTTTCGACTTTGTTCACATTTAGTCACTAAACTTTTTTTCGTTATCTATTTGTCACTGAACTATTGAAACTGTTCACATTTTACCCTTATGACCGGCTGTTACCGGTCATAAGGGTAAAATGTGAACAGTTTCAATAGTTTAGTGGCAAATAGATAACGAAAAAAAGTTTAGTGACTAAATGTGAACAAAATCGAAAGTTCGTTTCCCTCTAAAAAGTTCAATGACTAAATGTGAACAAACTTCCTCTTGTATCTAAATCCCTCCCTCTAAAAAATTCAACTTTCGGATTTCCATATCTAAATCCCTCCCCCTTTTTATAATCGACAAATGATTATAAAACCAAAAAGGGAATGAGAAAGCGCTCAATTCAGAATTTTCTATCCAAAACTCCCCCCTTATGACATGAGAGATAGAGAGAGACATGTAAACACCTCTATATAAGGTGAGTTCATACCACATGTATATGTGTGCTTGAGAGATGTAACATTGAGAGTGTTAGTGTGTGTTAATTATGTAGATTTAGATTTAGATCCTTTTTGTAAACACCTTTCATAATCGAATGCATCTCTTAAACCCCAAATCACCGTGTTCTTTAATTCCGCATGCCAAACCAATGGTCATAATTCACATCAGTGACATGGTTCATTTTTTTGTAAAACCAAAATCAGATTGAAAATTTTGATTTTTTATTTTGGAAAATGTCAAACCATTGGTTTTTTATTTCGGTTTCGATTTTTTGTTTTTTTTAAATATATTTTCAGGGTTTTGTTTTTTTTTATTTCATAGATTTCTTCATCAACAAATGTTGCTACAATTTAACAAAAATAAATAATTTGCTAAAACATAATACAAGAGGAAGTTTGTTCACATTTAGTCATTGAACTTTTTAGAGGGAAACGAACTTTCGATTTTGTTCACATTTAGTCACTAAACTTTTTTTCGTTATCTATTTGCCACTAAACTATTGAAACTGTTCACATTTTACCCTTATGACCGGTAACAGCCGGTCATAAGGGTAAAATGTGAACAGTTTCAATAGTTCAATGACAAATAGATAACGAAAAAAAGTTTAGTGACTAAATGTGAACAAAGTCGAAAGTTCGTTACCCTTTCAAGTCATTATCCCTATTTATTAATAGTAACACCTAATTTAGGCTGTCAAGCTTATTGGATAATCATATTAGCTGTCATCATTATGGCATCAAGTCTCGCAACTTATACGATACCCATAAGTCATATTTATTAATATTAACACCCAATTTAAGCTATAAATTGGTTCTTTACTCATGAAAAAAAATAAAAAGATATTCCCACAAAATAACCATATGATTTTTAAATTAAATAACATAATTTTAGATATTTGCAAATATAATCATATGGCGATATTTCAATAGAGTAAATTACAAGAATAGTCTTTAAGCTTTACTAAAATATCAAGATTGGTTCTCTATAATCAATGTTTCCCAAAATCGTCCCTAAGTTTGGTTTTCTATTTAAAAAATAAGCCACCACATTTGCCTTTTTTTTTCCATGGTACTTGATTTCACAATCGTAATCAACCAATTATATCCAAAGACACTATCTCATGTTTAAATGTTTATGATTGTGTATGCGTTAGAAACTTTTGTGATCGGTATATAACTTACATTTCGTTCGATAAAGATAGCGACACCATAATATAAGAATAGATATAACTATTGTTAATTCCAAAACATGTACTAAATAAAAATCATATACCGAATAATTCACTTCGGTGTTTTATATAACTATTATTTATTATTATTGCTAATTAATTTACAATTTTTTTATTTATCTTAGATTAGTTAACCAATTTAAAATCATTATTAATTTTTTTTGAAAAGTTATGAAGTTTTAAATGAATGTTTATTCGTATTTATATTTAAAATATTTAATCATTTTTAAGGATTTTAAATAAATATGGTGTAACAAATATATTAATTTTATAATTTTTATATATTATAGATAGATATATCAAGGCAAGTTGCAACAATATGTTTCCGTTCCGTATAAGTTTTGACAGAATTTGTAATCGAACTATTTTATCTAGGGTTAATGACCTAGAAATGTAACAAACTTTGGTCTTTGTCTACATTTAGGTAACCATGTTTTTTTCGTTCACATTTGACCATTGAACTTGTTTGACCTGTTCAAAATAGGATAATATGACCGGTAATTAGCGGTAACATTACCCTATTATGAACATGTCAAACAAGTTTACTGGTCAAATGTGTACGAAAAAAACATGGTTACCTAAATATGGACAAAAACCAAAGTTCCTTACCTATTTTGGTAATATTGGGTTCTTTATGTTAAGTGCAAGTAGTCATAAGATCCATTAATGTGAAATGAAATTGGGTTGTCCGGTCTTGTGTATGAGGAGATTGTTAAGTCTTGGGTCAACCCGGTTTAGGCCCAGCTAGTTAGGGGTTAGGTTGTATACGCTTAAGGGGTTAGGTTGTATGTCTTTTAAAGACCGAGCAACACAACTTAGTCCATGACTAGCCGAGACTAAACTGGGTTAGACCAAGCCTAACCTAATTGTTCATTGACTGTCGGAGCCTGATCCCAGGGCACACAGTCCCTATGACGGTTCTTGTCCAGTATTACCAAAACGGGTAAGAAACTTTGATTTTTGTCCTTATTTAGGTAACCATGTTTTTTCGTACACATTTGATCAATAAACTTATTTGACATGTTCATAATAGGGTAATATTACCGTAATTACTGGTCATATTATCCTATTTTGAACAAGTCAAACAAGTTCAATGGTCAAATGTGAACGAAAAAAACATGGTTATCTAAATGTGGACAAAGACAAAAGTTCGTTACCTTTCTAGGTCATTAACCCTTTTATCTATTTTGTTTCGAAATTATTACATAACCAAGTCGAGTGGCTATATTGCAAAAAGAAAAACTAAAGTGGTCTAATTGATCAAATGCGAAAAACTCAAGGACCCAATTATAAAACTCTATTCCTTCTTGCCCACGTCCGGAGACTACTCTGAAAGAAGCAGAACAGGGGATTCAGGGTTTTACATCGAATTCTCTGAGACGAAATTCCGTCTCTTGCTCTTGTCTAAGCCATGAGACATATCTTCGTAAGATCTTAGCATTCAATTAAATTTCTTTTCTCCAATTTCTGATGAGAGTTTTGATAACCTAACATCGCAGTTGCAATTGTCGAATCACATTTCATGTTCTTGTTCATTTTTATCCTTTTGCAGAGAAAAGTTTCGTTGTCTAAAGACAATGCTTTCATCCGATTAGTTGCTTTGGCTACAGCGGGATCAGGACTCGCCTATAAACTTGATATCGAAGATTCTGGTCAGTAGCGTTCTTTTTCTCTTTATAAGAAATGATTTTTGCTCATGAGAAGCAATTTCGTAGAGCTTATAACCACCTGTCTATCTCCACACCACAATTGTGGTCCATTTTCTCAGTTATGCGAAATCAATCTGTATATGTTATTATGCTCGAATTAAGGAATAAGGGCACTGTTCCAGTTTTAGGGTCTACCAATGTGGTATCACGAATTTGAATTTTCATAATTAAGAATCTGATCTTACTCATTTTAATTTTGAATAAAAGAAGGATGAAATGATTTGGGATCAAAACATTTTAACATATGCTTCAATACATGAATACTATTCTTCATCAATTTTACTATATCACTTATTTACATATTCTTACATCTGATGTTTCCTGGACTTACTGTAGATATGTCAATGCGAGTTTCCCTTCCTTCACTATCACATTACACATTATCTTCATGGGTTCTCAACTCTCCATTTTCTTCCTCAGCTCCTTCAAGACATGGTCTGTCATTCATTCTATTCATGTTTCTTTAATTTTTTCATTGAATATTGTCATCATTCTTTTGATTAGTTTCATTGGTGTTCTCATAGGACACCCCCCTTTATCTCTTTTTAGTGTTAGCTCAACTTCTGTACCTGGTGTAAATAAAGAGCCACCCTTTAAAGAGACCAGTGAATCCCCAAAACCATGTTGTGGATGTCTGGGCAGGGATACAATTGCAAATGCAGCTGCTAGAGTTGGCCCAGCTGTTGTCAATCTTTCAGTTCCAAAAGGTTTGTTTCAACAATATATAAAATTATAAACACAACTTCAGGAATTTATGGTATCATTTTTATTAAACAAATGATAGTTTTTTTGAAGGTTTCCAAGGGTTAACAGTGGGAAAAAGCATCGGTTCTGGAACCATAATAGATGATGATGGTACCATATTGACATGTGCTCATGTAGTGGTTGATTTTCAAGGGTTCACATCTTCATCTAAAGGAAAGGTTATAGACTTATAAGTTATACAATTCTTGCTCAATTTCTTCATAATACATGATACATGAAATAGTTTTTGTTAGTGACTACTTTACTACTATTTCTTATTGTTGCAGGTTGATGTGACATTACAAGATGGGAGGACTTTTGAGGGTATAGTGGTAAATGCTGATTTGCATTCTGATATTGCTATTGTCAAGATAACATCTAAAACTCCACTTCCAACTGCAAAGCTTGGATCTTCAAGCTCCCTTCGTCCTGGTGATTGGGTAGTAGCCATGGGCTGCCCCTTATCCCTTCAAAACACCATTACAGCTGGCATCGTAAGGTAACATTACCCCTCACCCCCACCCTACCCACCCACCCACACAAATGGAAAGATTACTAATGTTCTTTTTGTTTGTGTTTAGTTGTGTTGATCGTAAGAGTAGTGATTTGGGACTTGGAGGAATGCGGAGAGAGTATTTGCAGACTGACTGTGCCATCAATGCGGTACTCTAAATTTGATCTTTTTGTAAAGGACAAAATAGAACAGGCTGTACTGTGTTTGACATGCATTGAACTGGGGCTCAGACTGAGACCAATGTGAATAGAACAAAGATTGCAAATTTTTGTCCCACTCAAAGCGGTGGGATAGGGACTTGATGTTGATATCTTGTTTGGACAAAAGACGTTATACAACTATACATGATTGTTTCTTTTGACTTAATGGGTTAAGCCAAAAAACATGACTTAATGTATTAAGACACTAACCTTACCTATTTGCCCTTCTTTTTTTCCTCCCCACTCTCACGTTAAAATGTTAAAATTGATGAATATGGTGTAATTTATTTTTCGGAATGTAAGGGTAAAATAGTCATTTTTTGTCATTCGGTTTATTCAGTCTAGAAAAGAAACGAAAGTAACAAAAGAAACAGACCTTATGCTTACAGCACAACGTCATTACCCATCTAGTCACTATACACATAGAGGAATTAAGGAAAAAGAAAGGGTAAAATGGTCATTTGGTCTCTTTGTAGCTTTATCTTAATCTGTTTTGATGTTGTTGGTAATGGTATAGGGTAATTCTGGTGGGGCCCCTTGTTAATATTGATGGAGAAGTAATAGGTGTTAATATTATGAAAGTGTTGGCAGCTGATGGATTGAGCTTTTCTGTACCAATCGATTCTGTTTCCAAAATTATTGACCATTTCAAAACTAATGGGTAAAAACAAATTTTACCAAAATAACCTCACTTTTAAATACATATATATTATCTTTTATTTATTTATTAACTTAATAATCACGTTTAAAATTGGTGTAATAGGAGAGTGGTGCGACCTTGGCTTGGTCTAAAAATGCTTGATCTGAATGATATGATTGTTGCTCAGCTCAAAGAAAAAGATGTCATGTTTCCCAATGTTACCAAAGGTGTTCTTGTGCCTATGGTATTTTTTTTTTTTTTTTTTTTTTGTTAAATTATTATTTTTTATATTTTATCATTTTGTGACTCTGACTGTGATTGTGACTGACTGCTAACCAGGTAAGTCCAGGATCCCCTGCGGAACGAGCTGGTTTCCGCCCGGGAGATGTTGTCGTTGAATTTGAGGGGAAGCCTGTCGCAAGCATAAAAGAGGTAATTTTGAATTTTAATAATACTTTAAATTTCAACAGGTTCGAGTCTCGGCAGTTGCAGTATGGGAGTTGAGTTGTCAGGTGTTGTTGAAATTGAAAGAATAATTTTTTTTTTGTTTGGGCGTTTAATGACAGGTGATTGAAATTATGGGGGATAAAGTTGGAAAACCGATGAAAGTTGTGGTGAAAAGGGCAAAAAATACTTGTATTACGTTGACTGTGATACCCGAGGAAGCAAACCCAGATATGTAAATGCTTATTGGCTAAAGTAGGAATTAGGGGGCCCTAAGTTTGTAGTTTTAGGGCAAAATTATTGATTTATATATATTATAAAGGTACTACTTTTTTGTTTTCTTATTATTGGTGTTTAACTTGGTTTAAATGTGATAAATATGAATGTTGCCTAAAGTGATGCACATAAGCTACCAAATAGAAAGTTGCTCGTGTGATTAACATTAGGTTGCATTTAATTTGGTGTATGTTCATTTGCTAACATTCTTCTTGATAATATGAATTGAATAAATAAGTAATCATATTGATTTGGTTTTATTGTAATTGTAATTATTTAGGTTTTTTAAATAGTACTTATTAAGTGAGAATAATATTTAAAGGATCTTACAAGGTAACTTATGCTCACTTTTTATAAAAATATTTGAGAAGAAGAATCATTTAATACATGTTATTTATCAGATACATAAGTTATTATGTATAAGGGTGAGGATAGGCAGGTAGGGATGAGTATAGACGGGTATCCGTTTAAATTAGACAAAGTCGCAATCGACTATTCCTAAAATGTTTGAAACGGAATTGGTTGTATTGTTTATCAATATTTTGGAATCGGAACTATCAGTTCCAGGTACCTATTTTCAAAAAAATTAGTTACAAAAACAAATAAGTTATAAACCAATTTACATTCAATGTGTTTTAAAAATCACTTTTTATATGCTTTAGAACTTTTATTTAGAATTATAAAACAAAAAACAAGCAATAATTTAAAATCAAAAGGCAAAAATAACATTTTTGTTACAATAATTAGTTAATTATACTCATGTCAATGTAAAAGCCAATGGAAGTCATTCACAGAGTGCAACAATCACAATCTTACATAAATTAATTTATTAGTTAATGAACACAAAAGATAAAATATGTCTATTTGGACCCCTTAGGCCATGGACATATATGACATGAAGCTCTCGTGGTGATGAGTTGGAGGAGGACAACTATCATGCACACCATCTCGAAAGTTTCGTAGTGATGAGCTGAAGCCACAATTGTGGCCTCATGTGGTATATAACACGAGATACAACAACCAATGGTCACACTTTTTTTCTTTTCATATGTTTTCCTCTTTCTTGTATGTTACTCTTATACCGAAGGAAGGAGATGGTGGTGAGGTGGAGTTGCTTGACATGTCTCCATATCTTATGGCCTTATGGAATGTAAATTGACCCTCTAATCATTACATCTCAAAATATCCATATTTAACTATAATTATTAAAAAATAATAGGTAATTATTACATAATAATTATATAATCAACTCAAAATTATAGCTTTTTTTTTCTTTCAATAATCCTAATTATAACAAACTTTTTTCCAGTGGGCAGTAGTTCCGAAGAAATGAGAACCAGTTTTGTTCAGGACAGTTCCAAATTTTTTGAAATTAGAACTAAAACCGCTAAAGGCGATTTCGAGGCGGTTTTGATTTCGAAATTAGGTATCCTATTCTACTGCTCAACCCTATATGTGTATATGTTATGACGTTGTGTATGTTCTATTTATGTTTTATTATTATTTATTATTCTTATTTTTTTTCGGAACGACAAGATTTTATAAAAAGACCGGACTAGCAAGAAACTAACCGGTAAACAAGAAAAACATTATATAATAGCAATTTTCGGGTTTTGAAGCTACCCCACTCAATTAATGTCTTTCTTACATCTAACATTAAACCAAAAGTAAGACTTAGAAACAATATTATCAAAACACAAATAAATTATAAACCAATTTACATTCAATGTACCTATTTTCAAAAAAATTAGTTACAAAAACAAATAAATAAATACCAAAGGGCTTTTAGCCCAGCGGTATCCGGTGTTGCCCTCCCTCCTTGAGGTTGACGGTTCAAGTTCTGTCGTGGACATAGGTGGATTTAAGGTGTAGTTTAGGAGTAGGTTAGATTTTCCGTTCCAAAAAAAAAAAAAAAAAACAAAAACAAAAACAAAAAAATTATAAACCAATTTACATTCAATGTGTTTTAAAAATCACGTTTTATATGCTTTAGAACTTCTATTTAGAATTATAAAACAAAAAACAAGCATTAACTTAAAATCAAAAAGGCAAAAATAACATTTTTGTTACAATAATTAGTTAATTATACTCATATGAATGTAAAAGCCAATGGAAGTCATTCACGGAGTGCAACAACCACAATCTTACATAAATAAATTTAATAGTTAATGAACACAAAGGATAAAAAAAACATATGGATTTCTATTTGGACCCCTTAGGCCATGGGCAAACATGACATGAAGCTCTCATGGTGATGAGTTGGAGGAGGGCAACTATCATGCACACCATCTCGAAAGTTTCTTAGTGATGACCTGAAGCCACAATTGTGGCCTCATGTGGTATATAACACGAGAGACCACAACCAATTGTCACACTTCTTCTCTTTTCATATGTTTTCCTCTTTCTTCTATGTTCCTCTCTCTTCCTCTCATCTCATAGCAGGTACACAAAACTCTGGTGTGGACAAAGATCATGGTGAGAAGGAAGGAGATGGTGGTGATGTGACGTTGCTTGGCATGCCCCCATATCATATGGACTTATGGACATGGGCGGATGCAGGAATACATTATACGTGTTGCCGAGATGAAATATGTGTTGCCGATAATGAAAAATAGGTAAAAACAAAAAAAAAAATCGAATTTTTTTCCATTGCGGACAGAAAAAGCAGGTGTTGCCGGTGCAACACCGGGACCAGGCTAAATCCGCCCCTGCTTATGGAATGTAAATTGACCCTCTAATCATTACATCTCAAAAAATTCATATTTAACTATAATTATTAAAAAATAATAGGTAGTTATTACATAATAATTATACAATCAACTCAAATGTATAATTTCTTTTTTCTTTCCATAATCCTAATTATAAAATAAGGTGTTATTAAACATAGATATCAAATGCGAACAAAACCTAAAAGAAAATTTTTAAGGTTAGAAAAAAATAAATGTTTGAATTGACCTCTCTAAACAATTTTCTTCTCCAATTTTTTTTATTTTATTTTATTATTATTTTTTTTAAGCAAAAATAAGTATTATATCAAACTTAAAATTGAAATCATCGGGATTTAGTTATCATCATACAACGAATGAGAAGGCAAACGGGCAACAAGTTGCGCCGCTAAACCCTTTTGTATGGTAAAACCAATTCTTTTGAAGACTACATCCATAGATCTAGGGGATATAACATGACTATGCATGATCTGTTGTAGTCTACTAAGGAGCTCCACCGCATAACAAACTTTTTTTCCAGCTGGCAGTGGTTCCGAAAATTGAGAACCGGAACTGCTTAGGACGGTTCCAAATTTTTTGAAATTGGAACTAGAACCGTTCGCTAAAGGTGATTTTGATGCGGTTTTGATTTCGAAATTAGGTATCCAATTCTATTGCTCAACCCTACATGTGTATATGTTATGACCTTGTTTATGTTCTATTTGTGTTAACATGTTTTGTTTTTCTCTCGAATGACAAGATTTTATAAAAAGACCGGACTAGCAAGAAACTAGCCGATAAATAAGAAAAACATTACATAATAGCAGTTTTCGGGTTTTGAAGCTACCCCACCCAATTAATGTCTTTCTTAGCACTACACCAATAGTAAGACTTAGAAACAATATTATCAAAAACACGTGTTGCCTTCGGTTTTGTAACACCAAACAAGCGAGAATTTTTGAATTCATATATGGACATACACCTTCTAGAATGTTTTTTTGAAACATACGATAATCGCAAGGCTTTTAGTCAAACCAACCAATTCGCATAGGAAGAGAAATTGGGCACCGATAAACCCCACCACCTCACTTGAAAAATAATACTGGAAGAGAAAACACACTCAAAAAAGAGATGTAACGAAGACTTGAAAAATATCTAACATGTTGGATATATTTAACTCTTAACACGTGAAACTTTTTCGCAAAATAAAAAAACTCTTAAATCGTGAAATTGGAAATTGCAACCTTGTTAGAATGTGAGTGATACACAAAAGAATCCTTGAATTTTATAATTATAATGGAGTTTTAATACTAGAATTTTTAAAGACTGGTTTGAATATATCTTTAAGAAAATTAAACATCACCGAATTCAATAAGCCGAATTTGTGGTATCTAGCTAATGTATAATCTAATAGTAAAGTTTTCATTCTTATTTTTAAATGATAAATCCTTTGGTAACAATATTTGGATTTTCAGTTTAAAAATCATAACTTTAGATTTGTTTGATTAAGTTCGTTATCTCGGATCCCCGGCATATATACCGGAGTCCGAAAAAGGAAATTTGATGACACGAAGGATAGATTCGCCTTTCGCTAAGCATATCGTGAACCATGTTATTTTTACGTATGTTATTGTACGATTTGTAATCATATAGACAAAATCATAACTGCATAATGCAAAGAACTATTATGGAATGTGTGTTTGTAAGAGGTTTGTGTACTTCATATTTTGTATTTACGTTGTTAGTGTATTTTTGTGGGTGATGATGTTAGATCCATTTAAATGACCTAAACATCAAGACAACACCACATGACAACACCGTATGACTGCACCGCATGACAACATAATGTGGCAACACCGCATGACAACACCGCCATGTAGCATTACCTGACAGCATAGCCTAGCCCCTAACTAGCTGAGCTGGCCCAAGGCCCGACCTAAATGTCCCCTAGCTCTATAAATTGAATACCTCATCCTCAATGAAGATGTTATCTCATTCTTAGACACGAGCCTCCACTATATACATACACTCCTCCCACCAAGATGGTTCTCTCCATCTAAGAGAAACCATCTCATCATACACATCGATCTAACTTGATTGTCGGAGCCTGCTCCCAAGGAGGTTCTAACGGTTTGTTCTTTGATGGCAGTTAGGAATCAAGTTGGGAACTCGCTAACGACACCTAATCCAGATCTATGATCCAAATCCGACACCAAGACCCAAATGACCCGATTCCATGTCACATCAATGAGTCTTATGACTACTTGCACTTCACATTAAGAACTCAATATTACCAAAATGGGTAACGAATTTTGGTCTTTGTCCACATTTAGGTAACCATGTTTTTTCGTACAAGCCTGACCAATAAACGTGTTTGAGATATTCATAATAGGGTAACATCACC